CCCCAAAACCCCAAAACCCCAAAACCCCAAAACCCCAAGAAGTTGTTCCTACTGAAAGTCTGAAAATTAGGCAATGGAGAAGTTAAAGTTGAATGGCAGGGATTTCGATTGGACATTAGTACGTGGGCTAAGTGGGAAGAGGGCATTTTGGCTGGAGAAGAGGGTTGGGACGAATTTTAGGCGACTGGAGATGAGGGAAATTAGGAAATTTGACATATTTTTAGGGTTTTATGGAGAATTTAGGAATTATTTATTGGTGATGCTATTTTTAAGCATTTCTGATAAGATAATACTTCTCTTTTCAAGTGTAGTCACTTTGGATAGGAAGATGCTGATCTCTCTTTCTCTGTTTAGAGCATGGAGGTCCTCCAGAAGTCTAAATTCTTTGGATTCTAATAAATTTGAGGGCTTTGATCTCCAACAGCAGAAAATAGCTTTTAGCATATCCCAAGTTGTGTAGTGTTCACTTTCATTCTTTTCTTTTGGCAAAAATGAGTTCTTCTTCCTTTGAAATTCTTGGGAAGAAGGATTTTCGTATTCTTCCTGAACAGCATAAACTTTAGCTGTGCGATTACTCTTCAGAGACTTTGATTTCTGGCATTTTAAACCATCAACTTGGGGTTCAATAGACCTTTCTTGATATCCAGAGTCATGTTGGATAACCTCATTCATCTCTTGAACTTTCTCATCTTCTTGTTCCCCTTCCTTTATTCTTAGCATGGCCTCTCTATTTAATCTCTGGGTGAGTGAATTCTTAAAATTAGCAAGATCTTTGGTCCTGTTTTGTTCGATTCTCTTGTAGTTACTTATCAAATATTCTCTATCATTGTTGACACTGTTGACCAGGCTAAAGGTCTGCATTCTATGCACTATACTCAATAATTTGAACTCTGCCAAAACCCGATGCTTCAGAGTAAGAATATAGAATATGAATTCGCATGGTTTACTTTGAGACAGGGGATTGATCCACTGAATATTTTGAATCAGAAAAGGTCAAGATTGCATCAAACCAAATTTTGCACTTTCTCGTGTAATATTAAATTATGTGATATTCGCTGCTTTGGAAATTACCAATTAGCACAGAAGATCTGACTTGAGCTTAGAGGGTTGACAAAATATCATTCCATCAATGCAACGGAGGGAATGCAACTAACCTATCTATTATTTAAGCATTGAAAAACTTATGGTCATCCAAAACATGCTAATCTTTGTTCAATTAAACACAGAGATAAAAATGGAGGAAAAACATTTGACTCAGAAGGACAAGGTCTCTTTGTTTGTGTATACTTACTTATTGGCTTGGCTAATAGACTGATGATCAGCCATAAGATCATGAACAATCCTCCCATATTGGCCATTGTGTACAACACTTTATAATAAAACGCCATCTTCTTCGTCTCTGTGCTTACTTGAGTTGTACTTGTACTCTTGTTGTCAAGATTTCTCCCACCTGTTACCGGTGTCCAGACTGTTTTGGTAGATGCTAAATCTTTAGCCCCAAATTTTGCAAGACCCCGAACAAAGCGATTAAATAGGGTATACTCACTTTGAATTCTGTTAGTGATGCTATCTCTCGTGACCTGTACCAGAAGAGGAATTCCTTCTACTGTACTGCCTGAATTGATATTCTTAAAGTTACCCGTGTAGAACGAGCCTTGCACTGAGCCTATTAGCCGGGGTTATGCAAAGGAACATGGCTTTGGGACATTGGAAGAGTGATTGAAAAGGGAAATACCTGAACTGGAGGTGACCTGGGTCTTTCTGAGATAGAGATAACTATCTATAGTTATGTCCACGTTTGGATAAAATGTTTTCTCTTCGAGTTTAAAACCGTAAGGTGGGGATGAAGAAGGTTTGTAGTAGCCAGCAGTATAATACAGTGTGTAAGTAAGCCCGTTGTAGTACTCATCCTTTGCATCTCAGTTATTTGTACAGTTCAGTCCAATATTCCCAAACGCAAAAGCGTATATATCATTGTTTAATTGGTTCCCATTTATAGGAATGTCTTCAGGATTTTTAGGACAAAGTCATGGTGATAGGTCAATTTTGTTAACCTCTTCACGAACTTCTTCAGGGAACAAATCGGTGGTACAATTTGTCAATGGAGACACTGAAACTTCAGTGGGAGTCGTTTTTAAACCATACCACAGACTAAAATTATAATTAAAGGGTCTATCTTGTCACATAGCGAGTGTAATTCCATGGATTAATGGATACTCTACTTCCTCAGTAATCGTTGCTGAGTTGATCTCCTCCCATTCCTCAGTAAAGGAGACCTCTAATACCGTGAAGTCAGTAGTTAGAGACTTCAAAGTGGAAGAGTCATAAGGAGTACCTGAAGCTAAGAGCCTTCTCGGATTCTATATCAAAAATTAGGGAAATGAAGGTCTTCAAGAGAGATTTGTCATAAAAATATATGATTTACACGGAGAATTGCAATTTTAAGCAATCTTTCGGCTTATTTTCCTAGAATAATTGTATTTTTCGAAATATTTTGACATCTTTATAAATAAGAAGGGAAAATCCTTAATTAAAGAGTGATAAAAGCTGCCTTGTCATAAAAAGAAGGCTTTTACTGTCAAGCTAGTTTTTGTCAATAATTTGAACTAAACCAAACCAAGACCGAATTTCCAACTTTAAAATATATCAAAACCTCAAAACACAACTAATATATCTAGATACTTACATCTGTACTCAAAACTCTTCATTCTCCGGAAGTTGTAGTTGTAGTCGTCGTTTTCACCTCATTATTTCACATAAACCCCAAAACCACCCTTAAAACCCTCCAAATCCCTCTCCTACCCCTAAACCCCCACCCAAAATCCCATCTCAAGCCATTATCCACCCATTATCCACCCATTATCCACTATCTTCCACCCCTACTCACCTGTCACCTTCCACCTCAGCCATGCCCACGATCATGACCACCATCCAGCCTACTGTAGTAACCAAGATTCCAAAAGTCACCAAGCCTGCTACCAAATTTGAGACTCTTCTTCTCTTTGCCACACTAAACCCAATCGGAAGTGCTAATAAATCTCAATCCCTCACACTCTCAGCTACCCTATTCCCCATTTTCCAAATTATTATTAAATTTCATCCTTCCTCACCCCAAATGGGGTTTTGGGGTTTTGGGGTTTTGGGG